GTTTCGTGCAGAAACTGCAAAAGAAAGTGGTTGATGGTCTGTTTGGATTTCTAAGTTTGTAACACCATACAAGTAGTTCCTAAGGTTTTTTAATGCCCATACAATGGCGTATAATTCCCTTTCATTTGTGGCGTAATTTCTTTCTGTTTTATTTAAAGTTTTTGAAACAAAGGGGTGGGGTGCGTAAGCTAGACGCTTTGAGTCATGTTTACGTTAGCAATTGCGCTCTAGAGACTGGGTCTTCAGTTTACGTTATGAATTGCGCATGAAAATATGAATCTTTATGTTAAGTGGTTACGCTGTTATGTTTATGTTAGAGCCGGGAATCTTGATATTTATGTTAGCAGAGCTGCAGCTGTGCGTTAAGTGGACGTAGTGATTGAAACGGGTCTAATAAGTCTGAAAGGGCTAAGTAATTGGGATAGCGACTTATACTGAAATGTTGGTTATAATTTCAATAAGAATTGCCTTGCGGGCTGGGTGATAACTTGTATACATTCGCCTTCTAAACACAACTAATTTCGACCAATTGGCCAAAGTAAACAAAATCCAATATGAAAATTTAACAGTTTGTGACATTCATAACACTAATCCAGAAAATAGAAGCGAACAAGTACTTTCAAAATTAAAAAAAAAATTTCCCGAACAATTCAAAAGTCAACTAACAGAATTATACACCAAGTATACAGAACCAATAGCGACAAATAATTTTTAAAAACAAACATTTAGACTTAAAGATGATGAACCCATTTATATTAAAAACTACAGAATCCCGCATAGCCACTTCGAAGAAATTCAAAAACAAGTAGGGAAATTAATAAATGACAAAATCGTTGAACCATCTGTCTCCGAGTATAACAGCCCACTCTTGTTAGTTCCGAAAATATCATTACCAAATTCGGAAGAAAAGAAATGGCGATTAGTAATTGACTATCGCCCAATCAACAAAAAATTACTTTCTGATAAATTCCCGCTCCCCAGAATTGATGATATTCTAGACCAACTGGGCATAGCTAAATACTTTTCATGTCTTGACTTAATGTCAGGTTTTCCCCAAATTGAACTTGAAGAAAATTCTAGAATTATAACATCTTTTTCAATGAGCAATGGGGCATATCGCTTCACGCGATTTCCATTTGGTCTTAAAATAGCACCAAATTCATTTCAAAGAATGATGACAATAGCATTCTCGGGCTTAGAACCTTCTCAGGCATTCCTTTGTATGGATGATTTAATGGTGATAGAATGTTTCGAAAAACACATGATTAGAAACTTAACTTATGCTTTTAATATATGTAGGAAATATAACCTAAAGTTGCATCCAGAAAAGTGTTAATTTTTCATGCATGAAGTGACATTTTTAAGTCACAAATGCACTGACAAAGGAGTATTGCCAGATGACAAGGAATTTGATGTCATCAAAAATTATCCTGTCCCTCATGATGTGGATAGCGCGAGACGATTTGTAGCATTCTGCAATTATTATCTTCGATTTATAAAAAACTTCGCCGATTATTCACGGCACATAACTAGATTATCTAAAAAGAATGTTCCTTTTGAACGGTCAAGTGAATGCCAAAACGAATTCCAAGACCTTAAAGAATCACTTATGCACCCCACATTATAACAATATCCTGATTTTCGCAAAGAATTTTGCATTATAACAGATGCTAGTAAACAAACTTGCGGAGCGGTTCTAACTCAAAACCGTGACGGTATTCAGCTTCCAATAGCTTATGCATCTCGTTCATTTACAAAAGGGGAAAGCAATAAGAGCACAACAGAACAAGAGTTAGCGGCAATTCATTGGGCAATTACCCATTTTAGAACAAATATTTATGACAAACACTTTACTGTTAAAACGGATCACAGGCCATTGACATATCTTTTTTCTATGACTAATCCCAGTTCGAAATTAACTCGCATGCGGCTAGAGCTTGAAGAATACGACTTCACAGTAGATAGAATACCTAAAGGGGAAACATAATTTCGTAGCAGACGCACTTTCGCGTATTAATATAAAGGAACTCAAAGCTATGCATCATAAAGTCCTGAAAGTCACTACCAGGCGACAAAGTAGACAAAATAAAAACTGTACAGTAGAAAATTATAAACTTCTGCCAAGGCAAAGTCATAAAAATGTATCTAAGCCCAACGTACATGAAGTCATTAGCAATGATGAAGTACGAAAAGTAGTGACCTTGCGCATAACAGAATCTAAATGTTTATTTAAACATGAAAATAAAACTATCGCAAGAATTGAAGTTAGCGATTTATATACTAATGGAATCCCCGACTAAGGTCAGTTCTGCCAAAGGCTTGAAACAGAAGCCGGCATATTAAAAATTAGCCAACTCAAAATGGGCAATAAAATATTAAAATCTTTAAGAGTAGCGCTACTCCAGCCGGTGACCCAAATAAAAGATGAATAAGAGATACAACAAATATTGTCTACATACCATGACGACCCAATTCAAGGAGGTCATAGCGGCATAACAAGAACGTTAGCGAAAATAAAAAGACACTACTACTGGAAAAATATGACACGTCATATAAAATAGTACGTACGTAGATGTCAAAAATGCCAAATGTCTAAAACAAAGACGCACACAAAAACTCCTCTGACTCGCACAGAAACACCTGTGAATGCTTTCGATATAGTGATAGTGGATACAGTTGGTCCGCTACCCAAATCGGAAAATGGTAATGAATACATAGTCACATTAATATGCGACCTTACAAAATATTTAGTAGCCATTCCAATAAAGGGCAAAAGCGCAAATAATGTCGCAAAAGCTATATTCGAAAATTTCATACTCATGTTTGGTCCAATGAAGACGTTCATCTCGGACATGGGAACAGAGTATAAAAACCAGATTTTAACTGACTTATGCAAGTATTTGAAGATCAAGAATCTCACCTCTACTGCATATCATCATCAAACATTAGGGACAATAGAACGAAGTCATCGAACTTTTAATGAATACATTCGTTCATACATCTCTGCAGCCAAATCTGATTGGGATGTCTGGGTTCAATATTTCACTTATTGCTTCAATACGACACCATCAGCAACGCATGAGTATTGTCCATACGAACTAGTATTTGGCAGACTACCAAAACAGTTCATAGACTTAAACAAAACTAATAACATAGATCCTATGTATAATTTGGATGACTACTCTAAGGAAATAAAGCTTAGATTAGAAATAGCATACAAAAGAGCTAGAATTATGTTAGAAAAAGCCAAGGTTTTTAGAAAATTAGCATGTAATGAAAAATTAAAAAAATGTTGAAATAAAAGTAGGAGATAAAGTACTTATAAGAAATGAAACAGGGCAAAAATTAGACCCAGTATATTTAGGACCATATATAAAAGAGAAAATAGAAAATAATGACAACATTTTTATTAAAGATAGTAAAGATAAAAAACAAAAAGTTCATAAGAATGGATTAAAAATTTTTAATTCTTAATAAAATAAAATAAAAATATATGACGGCCTGATTTTTTTTTACAACTAAACGAATTATAAATTTTTACACCCTAAATAATTTTGTACTTTTATACTCCAACATTTAGAATTTCTTATTATATAAAAAAAAAAAAAAATTTTCAATTTTTTATAAAAAAAAAAACCCACAATAATTAAGTTCATTTAATAACTACACATTCATAATGTTACGTTATTTCTCTAAAAAGGGAGGTGTAGTGCGTATATGCCCTTACAGAATACCTTAAATATAAATACTTAAACATAAAGTATGCAGCACTTTGTTGCATACAATAACAATAGTATAGTAAACGAGCCCAGAGCCACATTATGTATTGGCTCGGTCTCATATTACGCAGCGCGGTTCACTAGCCTCACTAGCTGACCGTTTATGCTTATGATGCATATCCCACGCTCCGTCTGAGCGCATTCCGTGAGCAATATATATGCTCACTAATACAGGCATATGCGAGCTATCCACTCTCCCTCTCTTTGTAGCTGTTAACGAATAACAGCATAAGTATATCTGTATGTATATCCATAGGCTAAGCGAACATTATAACAAGTGAATAAATTCATTCTGAACAAAGATACAAAACAGCACTGACGTGCTGACTTATTTATCATTGACAATAAGTGCTCATTTTACAGAACCCTCTTCTTCCAACATCAAAGGCATATATATATTTTATTTTAGAAGCTATATGTCAAATTTGGTGACTCTAGCTCTTATTATTTACAAAAATTGCCCAAAAAACAGAATATCGATATCGATTTGTACCAATTGCTTGGAAAGGAGTAAGTTATCGATTATCGGAAACAAACGCGATCTGCGCAGGCACTAGGAGTACCTATATTTAAGATTTCAAGTCTCTAGCTCTTATAGGCTCTGAGATCCTTGCGTTCATACATACGGACGGACGGACAGACAGACGGGCATGGCTAGATCAACTCGGTTATTGATGCTGATCAAGAATATATATACTTTATGGGGTTGGAGATACTTCCTTCTGCCTGTTACATACATTTGGATTTTGCACAAATACAATATACCCTAATACCCATTTTTAATGGGTTCAGGGTATAACAAAAATGCAAATGATCTTTTTGAAATTATGACAGACGAAAGTGAATAAGCGATATGTATTTATGTACGCACGTAATTCAAATTTTGTTTTAATTAGAACATTTACAAGTTTCACTAGTTTTTTTTTAAGTTTTTAGGAAACACAATTCGCGTGATCATATTACATTTGTACCTTTTTTGAAAGCAGCATGTCACTCTTTTTAAAGCAATTATATATACTAACATAGTGTAAAACAATTGTAGAACAGCTTACGATTTAATAAGAATGACTGCTGTTAGCTGAATAATATAAATATATTTTATGCGATAATATAATATTGATGTAGCTTCCGTTAAACGTTTTTTTGCATTGACAGTAACCATTTTAAAAATTGGGAGTAAGCAAACGCTGCAAACCAAGAAGGAGATATGGGATAAACAAATTTAGTGGTGGTTAACGAAGTTTAATATTTTCAAAATTTATACAGAGTCACATACATATATGTTTTTAAGTTTTAAAATCTCCAGAATGATGTATGTCTCCCAACAACCGATTTGCAGCCTTGATTTCATAATGAAATTATATAATAAGACGTTAATATTAATAGTCGCTTGACTAACTGTATTTCGTATGCATATGTATATAAGTATAGCAAACATAACAAATAATTTTAAAAAGTAATTAGGTGAATATAACTATTTAAAATATGTTTGTTGGTCAATCAAATGTAGGTTTGTTGGGTCCGCAAGGTAGGATTTTCCATTGCTGTCTTTCCAGTCAAACGCAACAAAGTTACTCCGTGGCAAGCAGTGAAAAATTCTCAAAATGCATCTTACCTTGTACTGAATCATCATCTAAGTCGTCCGTGCTGCATGTGATCCGCGCTGTAATTCCAAACATATGAAAGATATTTTCAATATTAACAAGAAGTTCTAGTCGGGCGCTCCCGACAAGGAAATACCCTGAACCTGCTTATTCAAACACCAAAAAAAAAGCAAAAAATACTATCCCCGGTAGGGCTCGAACTCGAGACAGACCGCAGAATTTACTATGCCTCTACTCAGCAGCCACACCAATAACTAAACACTTATGATAAAAAAGGAACTAAAGTAGCATAACAGAGAAAAGTCGCAATTACCATGCTGTTAGAATGCGAAGCAGACACACATGAATGTGTGTGTGTGTACATGTATACAGAAATTCTTAAAGCTGCTGCCCCATTCAATTGCGCAGTTGCATATAACTTTGGATTTTTCTTAACAGATCTTTATGAAATTTGCTACAGTATATCTTATTGTACCATAGAATATTTGTGTATTCTGAAAAAGTCAATCGCATTTAAACTGTGGCTTAAATTGGTTTGCAATGAAAGTTGAATTATTAACTTGATTTATAGCCCTGGGTGGCAGCAGGGAGCTGGCGATATGCATAAAATGAAAGATACTTGACATATATATAACATTCTAGAAGCAACATATCATGCTTGGTGGATCTAGCTCTTATTATTTACCCAATTTGCTAAAAAAACAGGATGTCAATATCGATTTTGATCGATTGCTTGGAAATGGAGTAAGTTATCTATTATCGGAAACAAACTCGATCGGCGCAAGCACTAGGAGGACCTACATCTGAGATCCTTGCGTTCATACATACGGACAGACGGACAGACAGACGGACATGGCTAGATTGACTCGGCTATTGGTGCTGATCAAGAATATATATACTTTATGGGGTCGGAGATGTTTCCTTCTGCCTGTTACATACATTTGGATTTTGCACTAATACAATATACCCTTATACCCATTTTTAATGGGTTCAGGGCATAAAAATGAATTAATAATTTGTACCTCTAGAACCCTTTGCGGAATTGATACCACCGATGCTGCCAGTAATGCCACCATTACGGCTATAGAGAACATTCTCTAAGTATGTTAATCCGTTGTTATTGACAATATTTAAGCCTAGGCACGTTTCAATTTGCTTCCAACGGTGCAGGCGTTCCTGTAACTCGTTGGTTACTTCTCCAAGAGCATTACGAGCTTCGACAATAGAGCGATCAACGTCATCAATGCTCTTACCGTGGGTTGAAACAAAAGCGCCAACCAAGCTTGATCGCTTTTTACGTAATTTTTCACATGCTTCGCGAGCGGATTGAAGTTGTTTCTCAGCACAAATGCGTTTTTTTTGATGGTTCTTGCTTTCTAGCTCATATGTGTACTGTAACCATGATTGCAACTGCTGGGGGGGCGCCCAGCAATTATCAACCAGCTCGAACTCAGCACGTGTTAATTCATTGCGCAACATTTCAATTTCTTTTTTTAGCTGCTGTACCTCAAGATCTGAGCTAGACGAACTAAGGGAAGGCACTTCTTTGAGGCGCCTTTCAAGATCCATTTTCTCCGTTGCAACATTTTCCTGCTCCATACGAGCTAGCTCCAATTCCTAAAAAAAAGTTTATACTTATACAAAATTGTTATTCTGCCATTTTCAATTCAGTAGTGTACCTTTTGCATTTCCTGTAGACTTTGTTCAGCCCGTTGTAATCCTTCCATGTCCTGTGCCATGCGACGCAAGTGCCGCTTAGCATTTTTATTTTGTTGGTAGGCATACCAACAACCTATTATAGCACTTAATAAAAGAGTGACAAGAATATAATCCTTCCAGCGAGTGCCTGTTTCTGTCAATAACAATCGATTGCCCAATTAATTGCCTTACATTTAATCATACAGAACTGTGCTTATTGCTTACCTCGTGGCGGTCCAAATAGAACAACATCCATAGCTTTAAGAGATATTTTTTGCTTATGTATTGGGTCTTTTATGCCTAGGACATTGCTTACATAATGTAGATTATTTACAGCCAACCTGGAAGAAGAATAGAAGTTAAATGAAATAATGAATACATTTATCTTGATATGATCTTTTCATTCAGCAGTGCTGTACACAGGGTTATCCCCACCCACGCACTCAAGACTGTCTTCCTCCCACTTTGAACTTAATATCAATAGGTAACAAAATTAAATGTTTTACTCTGTTATCAAACCTACTATGAAACTTATATGTATGGTCTAAAGCATTTTATACCCTGAACCCATTACAAATGGTTATAAGGTTATGTGCAAAATCCAAATCTATGAAACAGGCAGAAGGAAGTATCTCCGACCCCATAAAGTATATATATTCTTGATCAGCACCAATAGCCGAGTCGATCCGAGCCATATCCGTCTGTCTGTCTGTCCGTATGTATGAACGCAAGAATCTCAGAACCTAGAAGAGCTAGACTTGAAATTTTAGATTTAGGTGCTACTAGTGCCCGCGCAGATCGAGTTTGTTTCCGACAATCGATAACTTACTCCGTTTCCAAGCAATCGATAAAAATTGATATCGATATCCTGTTTTTTGGGCAATTTTGATAAATAATAAGAGCTAGAGTCATCGAACTTGACATATAGCTTCTAAAATAGAATATATATGTATATGCATTTGATGTTGGAAGAAGAGGGTTCAGGGTATCCCCTAGTCGGGAGCTCCCGACTAGAAACTCTTACTTGTTTTTATTTCGAACAAAGTGGAATGGAATCTTTCAACTTGTCCATTGTCGGAACTATTAATATAGTTAATTTCGTTGTCCATTACAAAATATTTTGGTAAGCCATATTAAAACAGAATATCATGCGGGAGTTTTTTTTTATGTCCTTAACTGCTGAATCTTTCGGCTTACCTGTAAAATGCTCTTAGGCCTCTTAATGTTTTCAAGTGCTATTGTTTTCGCTATTGCTATTGCTATATATTTAAGGTTTTTAATTTTATATGTCTGGAACTCGCTTACAGTTAATTGGTATTTTATATTGGCTTCTTGCAGAGTTGTATGGATTGTGTCCAAATATTTTGTATTGGATTCATTATTTTGCTGAATATTATTATATCATTCATATAAGTTCTCAGTTGAAAGTGATTGATTGCTTATAATTTTGCATTTTTCGGTGCTTTATTTAAAAAGCTTTTATAAATTGAGCAAAGTGTTATCTGTTGTGCAGCGTAAGTCTGTTAACTATTGCATTTTTAAAAAGTGGCGTCAGCTCTGTTTTGTTGTAATTACCTGTTTTGATCCCTTTGCTTTGATGCTCCCCTGTACATACACTTCCTTGTGCGTGTGGTCGGTGCATACTTTCTGCTTGTTCATCGCGCTCTCGCAAATGTTTTCTATTGCTTTTCGCTCCAAACAATTTGTTTGTGTACGAATAATTGTTTTTTGAGTGTTTACTTGCTCATTCTTGTGCACCATTTTCGTTTTGCTCTGCGCTTTCGCAGCTTGCATACGCATTCAATAATTATGTCGTGCTGTAAGAAACCGTGCACGTCCAAGCAGGCTGATGATTCTGCACTGTTGCAATTTGTTAATTTCTGGCTGTGTGAGAATATGATGCATGCTAGATGTGCAGGTTTCACTGGGCGTGATTGCGACAAGATCGCTGCGATTGCCAAGAAGGGTTGCGGCGGCTTGAGTTGGTCATGCCCAAAATGCATCGACAAGCAAATTGATTTCTCCAGAATGTATAATTCTGTGAGAAATCAGTTCCTAAAATTAAATAACGTGGCTAAGCAACTCTCGAGTAATTTTGACTCGAGTTTCGAGTTGCTTGGCAAATATAAATTCGAGTCTCCAACAAATCGCCAGTTGGAGCCTCAACTTTTGCAATTGCCCTCAACGTCTGTTCAGACACCTATGCCTTTCTTATCCCTTCCAAGCAACGTATCTCCAATGTCGTCTTTATCGCCTTCTTTAACGGTAGTTGCCCCTCGTAGGGAAGTTTTTGTGTCTCGACTTTCGTCGGACACCACTATCTCGACTTTCGTCGGACACCACTTCTGAGTCATTGGCAGCCTATATTGAGCAAATCTTCTGCTAGCGTGTCAATAACCAAATTTAAGTTCTCCACCCCTCGTGAAATATCATCATTCAAAATAAATGTTTCACATGATATGCTCCCAATCATTTGTGATCCCAAATTTTGGCCTCCACACTCCTGTGTGGAACAATCATTTGTTCCAGTCTCTTCAATGAAGGGTACCATATCTGCCCCAAAAAACTAGCTTCATCTTCTGTCCAAATCTTTATTCATTATCATAATGTTAGAGGTCTCATTTCAAAGCTTAAGAATCACTTCCTTTGATTCGGATATAATAGCATTTTCAGAAACATAGTTAAACTCAACCATATCTGATTTTGAGATTTTGTCGAATAACATTATTTTGTATAGAAATGATCGGCCGACTCGAGGTGGTGGGGTGTTAATTGCCGTTAAAGCCACTCTCTAGTCAGAACTTTTCTGTTTTCGTACTGACGTTGAGATTCTCTCAGTTAAGGTGTCTTTTCCTACACGGAATATTTATATAACATGCTCTTATGTCCCTCCTTCTTCTAATATTCAAGTTTATATGAAACATATTACTTGTATTAAAGAAGTTTCTTCACACGTGCGTGATAATGACCTACTTTTGCTGTTGGTTGATTTTAATTTGCTGAATATCTCTTGGTCATTATTCACTGCTGAAAATTATCTAGTGCCCTCAGCACAGCACGATTCTATAGACTGCATTCTTTCGTGGTTTCGTGGTTTCAAATCAATTCAATTTTTAATCATTTGGATAGAACTTTAGAGATTGCCAATAAGCCCCGCTGTTGGTTCCGCAAAGGAAATTATTTTTTGCTGAATCAGTTTATTTATGCAACCGATTGGTCTTTCTTATATGATGTGTGTATTCCCAAGTCAATTCCTTCGACTACTTTTTCAAATCTATCCTGGTTTACTCCCAGATTGTCACATCTAAAAAATGTAAAATCTTAATATTATATATTATAACATAATTAAGAATATGCAGCATTTCTGCAAATCAGTTGTTTCTCCTGCTCAACATGGATTCATAAAGAATCGGTCAACTACGACCAATCTGCTTGAGTTGACTTACTTTTTAAATTTTGCACCATAACATTTTACTAAACTATTAAACTTGACCGAATAGGTTTCCCTCCGTCTCTTTTGCTTTGGATTAATTCTTATTTAAAAGGTAGGATCCAAAGAGTAATGCTGAGGCTGACTACCCCTAAATGGGTTCACGTTACTTCTGGTGTTCCTCAAGGTAGTCATCTTGGATGACTCTTTACTCTTTACTCTTTTTAAGAATGACCTCCCCTCTGTTATATCACATGCTCGTGTACTCATGTATGCGGACGATGTCAAAGTTTTTCTATCATACACTAACCCCCTACATAATTCTCGTCTTCAAGACGATTTGAACGCTATCCAACTTTGGTGTTCGGCCAATCAATTGCATCTTAATTGTTCAAAGCGTATGTTTATGACATTTAAAAGTACTACACCTACACCAACGTTTACAAACAGTTAAGGATCTAGGCGTTATTTTTCATTCTAAACTCTGTTTCAATCTTCACATAGATTCCATCGTTAATGAGGCAAAAGGTGTACTTGGATTCATTTAGCGATGGTCTATTGAGCTTAACGATCCTTTAATAACGAAACTTCCGTACATCTCTTCTGTTCGCCGTATCCTTAAATTCTGCTCTTGCATCTGATTTCCGCAGTATATTAATAGACAGGATCGTATTAAACTTGCTCATAAGCAATTTCTGCTTTTTGCCTTACGAGGTTTGAATTGCGACCCTAATCTTCGGTTGCCATCCTACTCTAGCAGGCTGCTTCTTCTCAACCTTCCATCGTTAACCAACCGTAGGACAATTCTCGGTGTTGTCCTTTTACATAAGTTGAATTTTGGCGACATAGATTCTCCTTTTCTGCCAGGGCGTCTTCTGTTCCGGCTAGACCAACCAGAAATTATCGCCCCTTTTTCCTATCCACGTGCACAACAGACTATCCTATGCACAATCCTTTTCGCGTGCAATGTAACAATTATAAAAGTTTGCATCACGTTTTCTCGACCGAACTTTCTCTACCCCAAATAAAATCGTTGCTTTCAGGATACCTTCGGGAAGTCGCTGACCATTCCCCGCTATGAGCAGGGCCAACTTTAGTAAGAATGAGAGATAGGTGATTGTTAATATTTTGATGAAATTCTTCTACAATTTGCTCTTCGCTCTGAGTCTAGTGATCTGCTGGTATTCTAAAGTAGTCAGGTCATGTTTGTCCGCAAAGTGTTATGTGAGAAAGCTGCCTACTGGCTACTGTTTAATAGTTGAAGTAATGCTTCTTATTTTCTGCTGATAAAAATCAATTTGTATCAATACGGATTGAGTATAGATTGTGAAAATCATCTTAGCTAATGAAATTCAAGTAATCAATTAAAATAAATACAAGTAAGAGGGTTTAGTCGGAAGCTCCCGATCGCCCTAAGGGTGCCTGCGACTATTTAAGTGTAAGTGAACTTGATTTAAATTTATTTAATACACACTTAATTGACCTAAATGAAATATTAATTTTTGATTTTTTTTGTTTACTGTAGGGACATATTTTGCTTAAAATACAAAAACTTATTGAAGAATTTTAAGGAAAGACCAAAAATTGAAAGTGTTCAATTTTAGCCACATCTTGAATGTGCACACGTGCACTCTTTCGAGTAAGCAATTGTGTGATGTTATTAAAGGGTTTAGCCTGTTTATGTGCCAAATTGGTATTTGCCATGCTTCTTGAAAGCGTAAGGGTACCTAACCGTTGGCATGTGTGCATGATAACTTTTTGGGCCGGCCAGGCAAGCACAGTTACGCACTTTTCTATATGGATGGAAGCATTTATGCGTTTGTTTGCGTGTTGGTTGCCTGCCTGCCTGCCCGATGCAAATTTGAGAAGATTTTTAGTTCTTAGCATTTCTGAATTTCGAGTTCGATACACACACATACACACACACACATACACGCATAAATGCGTACGAATGAGCTGATCAAGAGTTTGTCGAGAGACAGAGACATTTTCATTAATGGGTGCGTAAGTTTAGGTGACGGGCACGGTATTTATTTTTTTTTGGCATGCCTGCGGTGGGCTTGCGGCCGAAAAGGGCACAAATGTGTGAATCATCATCGCTTCTACTGAACGTTTTGAAACGTGTTGGAAACTTCTTTTAAAAAAACCACAAACCCGGTACAGTTGAGGTCCATTTACGACGATTTTATTGTCCAGGTGATGAAACATGTGGTGATAAAAGTCAGCGTATACGTCGATCGATGTCGCCTTGGCAAAATTATCGGACGTTTCACGCAGACTTCAACTTCTTCTATATTGTCTATGCGTCCCTTAATACGTAGAAGGCCCGAGTCATCTATTTGGAGGGAGCACTTAAACATCAGCCTTTTGTGATCGGTTAAGCGGCGGCTCGACTTTAGGCAGGAATTCTCACTGTAAAACTCTTCTTCTTGGCATATCCGGATAAAAGAGACATCCATTACTTTGCTACGTTTAAGGCGCAGCCTCTTCTAAAAATCCATTATGCATAGCTGTACGGCTCTCAATTTGTCCGACTTGCTGAAGGGCTGCAGATCAGGCAGGAGACAGCTCCAGTTCGACGTGTGATTGGGCTGTTCTTCAGCATGGTACAATATGTTGATTGCAGGGTTTATTTCCGTTTGTGGCCACTGCCATTCTTATAGATACAAACAGCAAGAGGTTCTAGTCCAACACCATATGCAGTTCGCGCTACGCGCTCGTTTGCTTTAGTAGTAACCAAGATAAATATAAAAAAAAGTTCCTTTGGCTGGATTCGAACTCGCAACTGACCGCATTACTTGCCCCCGTCTCTACTCAATAGCCACATCAACCAAAGTAAATAGTTTCCTAGGTAGGGCTCGAAAGCGCGACAGAGCACACCACTTGCCGCCGCCACCTCTGAAGAGCAACACCAATAATTAAGTTAAAATGAGAAGAAAAAGGAATTAAACTAGCAATGCTGTCGATGGAATTCGAACAAGAGGCGCATGAATGTGTGTGTGTGTTCATGTACATAGAAATTTATCAAATTTCCGCTAGTTTCCGCAATCACGTGTTTCTGATCCGATCTAAATGAAATTTTCTACAGTATATCTTACTTTTTGTAGCGTACAATATTTGTTTATATTTTAAAAATTAATTTGCATTTTTGTGACTATAGTTCTTATTATATACCAAATCGATTGATTGGAAACGGAG